GGGCAGAAAAATAGAAAAACCGCAGTGCGAGGTGACGACAAACTAGATAGTTAACGGGTATCCGATGCGGTTGGTGAAATGTCAGTTATGGAAAATGCCTTAATCAACGTGCAAGACCATCCGCAGAGTAAATAGCGACCGTGGATATTCCGTACTACGAAGGAACTTCAAAAGCAGTTAGGAGGATATTGCATAAAGAAAAGGTCAAACGCCACTGTCGACGCTTGTGCATATTTTTGATTCCTTCCCCTTAAATAGAATAACTGCACCTAAGAAATACCATGTAGGGATTGTGTTCAGGTGTATATAGGCCAAACAGCAGAAGAACTGCACATGAGCATTTCCGAACATCGGCGGCGCATATCAGAACCTCCGAGGAAGGAACTCGAGTACAGAACTATGCTCAGAGATTCGGTGGTATCAGTGCACGCTGTAGACACAGGACATTAAATTGACTACGAAAAACGTCATGCTTATCAGAAAGGGATTGAAATTAGCCGTACAAAGGCTAATTGCGGAGGCTGTGGAAATCAAAACTAACAACTGCGTGAATAGATTCGATGGTGTAAGGCCGTTGAGTGCCTAGCGCCCAGTCTAACTCCGGCTAATTTGATGGGCTTCGGCGGATGAATCCGAAATCAAGATGGACTGTGGACACCCCACCACCAAGACCCTAAGTAAAGAAGGCATTCTTCATCAATCATTTGACCAATTTCCTCTCAGCGAACCGCCTGAGATTCTGATACGCACCTGTAAGTGCTCTCCGACCGACACCGTTGGTTCCTCTCTTGACTCACAGCTGGAACCCGGATTGAGCAAATCGACAAGTTTCGTGACCAGCCTCGCTCTACCCTGACGAGGTCAATGATGAGTTTCCTCCAACCAGAGTACACGCGAACCTAATGACCTTTGACCGCGGTAACTTTTTACACTGCTTGCCGAACAACCTCCTCGTGGTGCCAGCTGGGTGGTTCGGGTTTTTCCCCGTTCCAGCGAATGGTTCGGCGGCAGTGTTCCAGGACGTGGTGGGTTTTCGCCTGGCAAGCGTTCTCCCTATAAAAAGCCACATATGTCCGTTTAACAACACTGCGGCGTGGCGGATGTGACTCGCCACTAAATAAAGTCACTGCCCCTTGCCCCTCCCTGAGAGGCATTGTACTTTAAGGGTGAGTTGGGCCCCTGGTCCTTCACGGACCGAAAGGCGTATGAACCATCTACTTGGTCACCGGCTCCCAACGGGTTGCGACGCCCTCACATCGCCCTGCTGCCTTGTAGGTTAGATCTTTGATCAAAGGCTCGGGGTAGGGCCCCCTAAGACAACCCTCTACTTCGGCCTGGGCAACCGGGTAGTATCACGCCCGCTGACAAATCATGGACTACACCGCTCACTACTACTACTGCTATGCCGCTCTTCTGTCTTAACTCAACCGCTCAACGTCCACTCACAGACCACCCCACCTCCCGTCCTTCACCTACATGTACTCTTGTGTCTTCTACGGTCACCGTCACAAACGACCCACGTCTCGCAGCTGATGGAAGTAACAGCCAAACTCCCGGTTTTCAATGTCCTGCGATCGCAGCCGTCTCACACTTCACCGAAGCTCCAGCTCTTCTTCGCCATGGTTCTCCACCATCCTCACAGATCTTAATGGTCAAACTTTGATGGAGATCGCAAGGCAAGCATGTCTGACCAGTACTCTTAAAACGCTTTCGGTAGATATCAGTTGCCTTTCACCGACCAGATTACAAGACTCTAATGCCGTCATCAGAATGGCTTCTCCGGTCAACCCTGACGCCAACTACTACTTGCGGCTTTCTGGAGACCCAGAATCTGCCGCCACTGGTCAAGCTGGTGTTGGGGTTGTATTAAGTGCCAGGGCTGAATCAGCTCTGCTTGACTGGATCCCAGTCAACAGCCGACCAAGTGCAGTCAGACTAAGAGGTTCATGTAACGTAAGCAGGCGTCGAGATGTTAAGCGTGCCTTATTTGTCGTCTCCGCCTACGCCCCTACAGACTGCAGCCCGGATGCAGTTAAAGATAGCTTTTACCAACAACTACATGAACTTCTGCGTTCCTCCAAACGGACGGATATAGTCATTCTTGCCGGGGACTTTAACGCACGGGTTGGCCGCCTTCTACCAAGCGAGCACCACATTGGGGGTAGTTTTGGTCTCGGTGGCCGTCGATCAGACAATGGAGACAGACTACTTGCTCTTTGCTCTGATCATCGCTTGTTTCTTTCGAGCACTAGTTTTCGACACTCGAGGAGACAGACTGCTACCTGGCGCCCGCCCTCACAAACGCAAGAGTGCTCCCAGCTTGACCACATAGCAATCAGCTACAGATGGCGCGGAAGCGCAACGGACTGCCGATCGTACTGGTCAACTTTTCTAGACTCTGATCACGCATTGGTTCGTGCTAAGATTTGCATGCGTTTCGGAGGCTCACCTAAGCGCGCTCCTACCGACCGGACGTCGCGAATCTACAAAACGCTGCGGTTTTAACCAGGTACCAAGCCTCACTGTCAACTTTGCTTGGCTCAACTGTTGACGGTGATCTCGATTCGCAGTGGGCGCATATCAAAGATGCGTTAGTTTCCGCCAGTATCGACACTTGTGGAGTTACCCGTCACCCACCGAAACATTGGATTTCCGCCGACTACTTGTCGCTGATGGACAGACGCCGCTTGATCCCATCGGATTCCAGACACGTTGAAGAACGCCAATACCTTGGTCGAGAGTTGCGCAGGAGTCTGCAAATGGACCGCGAAGCTTGGTAGTGTGAACGTGCTAGGGAGATGGAGCTTGCTAGTCTCTGTGGTAATACCAGGAAACTTTTCCATCTCATTCGAGTCACCGAAGGTGTTCGATCTGGTATAAGTGAAACAATATGCGAAGAGGATGACACCTTAATCACCAATCTTCAACGACGGTTGGAGCGATGGGCCGAACATTTTGGCTCGCAGTTTTGTTGGCCCCCAGCTCCATCTGCTACCTCTGGCGCTCGCGCTGGGGCCGAGTGGTCTACCCCAACAGACCCTCCCTCTTCCCAGGAAATCGAGCAGGAGCTCCGGCACCTGAAGCGTTATAAAGCTCCCGGCCCTGATGCTCTTCACCCAGCTCTATTTAAAGATGGTGGCGCATCGCTGGTCCGAGAACTCACCGTTTTGTTCTCGAAAATTTGGTCGAAAGAGAATGTTCCATCATCTTGGGGTGAATCGATAGTCGTACCCATCTTCAAAAAGGGCCTGCGCACAATCTTCTCCAACTACAGAGGAATAAGTTTAGTCCCCGTCGTTTGCAAGCTGCTGGTGTCCATCATACTTCGCATGCTATCCCCAACACGCGAATCGTTGCAACGAGAAGAACAAGCTGGGTTTCGCCCTGGTCGCGGCTGCATCGATCAAATCTTCACACTTCGCCAGATCCTCGAGCTCCGCCATGTGTATCAGAGGCCAACGATTGCTGTGTTCCTGGATATCCGTGCAGCCTTCGATTCTGTCGATCGTACAGTACTGTGGCAGTGCCTTCTGAGGAACGGTGTACCCGAGAAGTTCGTCTCCAAACTACGCGCTCTATACAGTCTGACCTCGGGCAGCGTTAGGGCTTATGGCATGCTTTCGCCTACCTTTGTGGTCTCCAGTGGAGTTCGACAAGGATGCCCTATCACTCCGTTCCTATTCAACTTTGCCATTGAGGATGTCCTGAAGAACGCTCTGAGCGATTCGTTGAACGCTGGCGTTGAGCTCCTCCCAGGTAGTCGAGTTGTTGATTTGGATTATGCTGATGATATCGTCTTGCTGGGTGCCGATCCACACGCCGTCCAACTTGCGTTAAACCGCTTGGCGATTGAAGCATCAAAGTACGGTATGTACTTTTCGCCATACAAATGCAAGGCTCTCCTTCAAGACTGGCAGGTGCCTCTGCCTGCACTCACGCTTGCTGGTGAGACACTAGAGGTTGTGGAGAGCTTTGTCTACTTGGGAAGTTGCATCAATGCTGGCGGGGCTGTTGGAGACGAGATTTCGATGCGCATCTCGAGAGCACGCCTCGCTTTTTCTAGGCTGAGGCATTTGTGGCGTCGCCACGACATTCGTCTCTCCAACAAAGGGCGGGTCTATTGTGCAACTGTTCGTGCTGTACTTTTGTACGGATGCGAGACCTGGCCCATTCGTAAAGATGACTTGCGCAGGCTATCCGTCTTCGAGCACCGCTGTCTGCGGTCCATTGCCCGTGTGTGGTGGCCGCACCACGAAAGCAATGTGGAAGTTAGACAGCGTGTCTTGGGACGTGGAAGCCACTCGCTCGAGGAGCTCATCTCACTGCATCAACTGCGGTGGTTGGGACACGTATTGCGCATGCCTGTCCAGCGTTACCCCCGTCGTGCGTTGTTAGCACTTGCTGGACATGGCAGGAAGAGACGGTCTGGTGGACAGCCTACAACATGGAGAAGCCGCATGAAAAAGTTGACGAAACAATTGGCCTCGGCCGGTTGTTGTCGACTACCTGGTTGGGGTCCGAGAGATGAGGATACTTGCTGGTTGAAAACCTTGGAAGTTATGGCTCAAGATCGATGTCAATGGCGGACGTGTGCATCAGTGTGTTGCGGTGTCCCTTCTTCCTCCCCCTAAAAAAGAACAAACTGAAAAAATTTCAAAAACTGTGAGTGGTAAACTTGACAAAAAACATTTCTTGTTGCTCTTTTCTTATTATTCATATTGTTTTCCTATTCAGCCATGATTCCGATGGCACAATATCTGTACCACAGATTGTGTATAATATATATATAATAATAACGATTGGGTAACTTGCACACAGCGAGTGATCAATGTGTACTTGAGTGGTTATATAATATATATATGTATTATATATTATATATTTTATATATATACAACTCAAGTGCACGTTGATCACTCGCTGTGTGCAACTTACCCACGATCGTTATTAGATGTTTTCCAATTTTGAGCTAGTTCACTTCGCCTGAAGAAGCTTTTGTGTCAAAAGCGAAACATAAGCCCCAGAATTACATCAACAGGTCGTTTATAAAGTCTTTTGAAATGATGACTGCTCGATCGGTTCCATACTTGTTCCACTATATCGGAGGGTTGCGTTTTCTTTTCATGACAGGTTTTCTCACTCATTAGCAGGACCGTTAGGTTTCTATGGTGGCGATGCATTATTGCGAAATACTGTGGTGGCAGCCGTAGTTATGCTGATTTTGATTATGTTGAAAATCTCTACTTATAGGCTTGTGACTGTTAAGCGGTCGTAGAGTGTGATGTTGATCAGCGCATTTGTTCCCTTGTTGCATGTGTTTTGACCATAGGTGTATTGACCAGGTAATTCCTTCGTGTGATTGTCTCCACACTTGTTGGATGCTTTTAAGCGACTTAGCATTGGTTAGCGGTCACCGGAGTGTTTTTCGCCATCGGAGAGGGCGCTGTCTGGCAACACATCTCGGCGGTGCCTCACCTGTGTTTCTCTCAAGGTTCCGTTTCAACGGCGTTGTAAACAGCGCCGAGAGCAAAGTTTAGCACACACTGAGCAAATGGGCAACTCCACTGACACATACCTCTTCAGGCGCAATGCAGGTCCGTAGCCTAAAGGATACAAGGGCGCGTGTTTCATTCTGCTTAGAAGACTGGGTGACCCTCGCAGTCTCTGTGATCCACACGCGACTATTGATGGTTGCGCTGCAGCGAAGCGTCTGTACTGCCTGTCAGCATACTGCGGATGCCTTAAGGGAATATTTAACGATATCGATACTTCTCATCACCTCCCTTTAGAGAGACACGTGAACCCTCGTATATGTCCGCGTACCCGGCGTCGACGTGGTGGGACGTGGGACGAGAGTATACATTCGGAGGGAGGCGGCAGATTTACGTGACGAAGCAAGCAATTAGATTACCAGAGACGAA